ACCAAGCAGAGTGAGGAGGCCATCTGCTTAGAAAAGTGGCTCAAAAAAGGGTGTCAGAGCCGAAAGAGGACATCTGCACAGGTCAGTCTGGCCTGGGGTGTTGGAGGATGAGGGAGAAGTAGGATTGAAAGTGGAATCTATACCAAGTGCAGCTGAAGCACCAAGTGGAATGAGAGATGTTTGTGTGGTGATGCTGGCAGCCTGGTACAGGGTGTCTGAGCCTGGGGAGAAGGGAATTTGTGCAAGACATGGGGCACTGAATTCTGAAAGGGATGGGGAGAAATGCAGATTGGTGATGGCAATCTGACATGAGGTGTTGGAGCCCAAGCAGAGTGAGAGCAATGTCTTTACATGAGGTGGAGAATGTGGTGACAGGGGCATGGCTCAGTATGCCTGAAGCCCAGAAGAGTATCAGTCTGAGCATTCACTCAGAGATGGGGTAGCTGTGGGTAGCTGCAAGGGTGATGGAGATCATCATAATCAATTAAATGAACACATATATTAAAGATATTGGGATCCACAATTCTCACTGTTGAAGAAGGTTGTTAAAAATAAAGAAAGGTAATAGGCCGGGCACAGTGGCTCACACTTGGGAGGCCAAGACAGGTGGATGACCTGAGCTCAGGAGTTCAAGACCAGCTTGGCCAATATGGCGAAACCCCATCTCTACTAAAAATACAAAAATTAGTCAGGCATGGTGGCACATGCCTGTAATCCCCACTACTCAGAAGGCTGAGGCAGAATTGCTTGAACCCAGGAGGAAGAGGTTGCAGTGAGCAGAGATCATGCTACTGCATTCCAGCCTAGGCAACAAAGTGAGACTCCAAAAAAAAAAAAAAAAAAGGTAGAAAATTAGACTGGAATTAGAGACATTGGTGTGAAATCATGATTTCTAATATAAGTAGAAATATAAATATGTGTAAATTTATACACACATACAATACACATATTCCCTAGCTGTGTCTTAAGAAGGCACTAGAAGCAGCAACATTCAGTAGTAATGAGCACATCTAGCATCCAGATACTGGTTTGCAAATACTATTCTCAACTAAAAGGAATCTGGGGTGCTTGGAGAAATGGCTGATATGAGGCCTACAGTGGGAAGATACAAAACAAGCCTGAAGCACCTCTTCCAAACTCATTCAGGTTGCTACTGGTAGAATTAAGTGGCTTGTGGTTGGATGACCGAAATCTCCACTTCTTGTCATCTGCGGGTTGCTCGCAGCTACTAGCGGCTGTCCGCACGTCTTAGATACACGGCAGTTTACTTCTTCAAGGCTAATAGCAGAAACTCTCTGATGCTTCCTATCTTTGACTTCAGAAAGGGCCTGGCCTCTTTAAAGGGCTCACCTGATTCATTGAGGTCTACCCATGATAATCTCCCCACATTTTTTAAGACTCAAAAGCAAACAATTTGAGCCCTTAATTGCATCAAATGTCAAATCTTCATATTTGCCATATAATGTAAATTAATCATGGGAATGAAATCCATCATATTCATAATAATGCCCACATTCAAGAGGAGGGATTACGTAGGTCATGTACATCAAGGACGAGGAATCCTGGGAGCCATCTTAGAATTCTGCCTATTTTTATACAAAAGAGGAGGGGGAAGGGAACCATTTGTTTTCATTGAAAAATCTTCATTATGCTTTTATAATCCATTAATAAACTCCATAACTTTATTTCACAGTAAACTTTTATTTAACTATGTACATGTATAACTTCAGTTAAAAATTATATTTAGTAGAATCTAAATGTCACTGAGTCAGTAAGATTCACCATTTTTTATGTACCTCTAAGAAAACAAGAACCTGCTAATTAAAATGTGAGTATCAATTGTAAAATATATTCCAATTTCAGAGATGTTAAATAATGTGTGGCGCAGAATGACATATATAGTAACTAAAAACATGTCTTCTTTTAGTTTTTCATGCCTAGACAAGTTAGAATTTCTTCGTTTGTTTTTAAATAATGTAAATGAGTGTTACAAATTTCACAGGAATCAACAGCACTTTTAAGGTGAGTTGGGCATCTTGTCCCTCCCTACCCAAACATACACCTTCTCCCCTTTTCTCTTAACCCTTCTAAATGTATCTATTCTTCCTAGTTTTCTGCTCCTTGTTATGAAAATAGCCCTCCCCATCTTAATTTCCTTTCACTTCTTGGTCCATTTGGGCTATCATAACAAAAATACCATAGACTAGGTGGCTTAAAGAACATTTATTCCTCACAGTTCTGGAGACTGGGGGAGGTCAAGGTCAGGGTGCTGGCAGATTCAGTGTCTGGTGAGGGCCGGCTTCCTGGTTTGTAGACAGCCATTTTCTTGCTGTGTCCTCACATGGTGGAAAAGAGACGGCTCCTTAGAGCCTCTTTTATAAGGGCACTAATCCTACTCATGAGGGCTCCACCCTCATAACCCAATCACCTCCCAAAAGCCCTACCTTCTAATACCATCACTTGGGGAGTTAGGATTTCAACACATGAATTTTGGGGGATGCACACATTGGGTGTAGAACACTTCCTTAAACCTGTTTCTTAATGTGTGCTCTTTGCAGGAACTGAATATAATGAATGTAGTTTTTGGTGAAGAGGTTGGTGAGGGGGAGAAACGTGGACGTTGGGAAGAACGTAGATTTGCTTGTGGGTTCACATTTATTAGTTCGCCTATGGCTGCAGGTAGCATAGCAGAGAACCCAAATCAAAATGGCTTCAACAATAATGAAAATATATCATTTCAGTGGGCATGACATGAAATCTGAAAGTGAGGTATCTCTCCTGAAAGACTGGTTAAGTCCATGGCTCAGCTGTTATCAAGAATTCAGCTTTTCCCCAACTTTCCTCTCTGTCATCTTCAGCTAGCACCCCTTGAAATCTTAAGATAGCTGCCTCTGTTCTGGTGTCATATTTAGAAATGGCAATTTTCAACTTCCTCCTTGTGTACCTCAAGAGAAAAGATCACTTTCCAGAGGTGCACCAGAGGACACGTATCCATATTTCAAGCTTATACCAACTATTGGCAAGAAGAATGGCACTTCCATTCTTTGTTGAGACCAGTGGTTTTCAACCTTGGCTGTGCTTTAGAAACACCTGGGAGCTACTAAAAATTTCATGTCCATATTCCAAGCCAAAAAAATTTTAAAAAGTAAAACATCAGAATTTCTGAAAGTGGGCGCTTGGAATCAACATTTTTGTTTAAAGCTTCCCACGTAATTCCAATGTGAAGTCAAGGTTGAGAAATACAACATTAGACTCCTGTTGATACAACCCTTCGAGCTGGGTCCAGGGCTCACCCTCCATAAAGCACAAGTCACTCATGTAGGTTAGGGGGGGTCTAACCAAAATTGGAATTCTGTTAGGAAGGGGAAAAAACGTATGTGAGGGTATACAAGCAACAACATAAGCTACAGAGACCCGGGGTGGTAATGCCTTCTTACAGACATGATTTCGACATCTGTGAGTAGCAATTGCAGCTATTCTTATTATAATAGTCCCTTTTATAAGACTGTAATAGAGATTAAAAATAGATTGCTCACTGCAATCTCCAATTCATGGGCTCAAGTGATCCCCCTGCCTCAGACTTCCAAGTAGCTGGGATTCCAGGTGTGCACCTCCATGCCTGGCTAATTTTAAAGATTTTTAGAAGATGAGATCTTGCTATGTTGCCAAGGCTGATCTCAAACTTCTGGACTCAAGCGATCCTCTTGCCTTGGCCTCCCAAAGTACTGCGATGAAAGGTGTGAGCCATTGCACCTGACCTGAAGAAATCCTTGCATATAACCCCCTCAATGGTTATGCTTACAAGAAACTAGTCAGTGAACTGAGACAATAATGCTGGAAGTCAGGAAACCTATTAAAACAGGGGTCAGTCATCTAACATCTCTGGGTCTGAATTCCTAAAGTACTACAACTGGACAAAGTCAAAACACCAAAAGGCTACATACTTGACCTATATTATCTCACCAACTGATAAAAATTGAGTTCCACTATTATGTGGCTTTTAGTAACCAACCATAAGAAGACCCATATGAAACCTGTCACACAACATTTTAGAAAGGAGAATTCTTTCCATTCTATTCAGTGATTTCCATAATGAAGACCCACATAAGTATTGTTTTCATGAAATTATTAGGGAGGTTTTGCCTCCCGCCTCCCTTCTGCTATTGAGAGGTAAGTAGTTGATCACGTTATCCTTTATACTTTGGCTTTAAAGAAAGTCAGGGATAAATTTAATAGCGCCATGATAACCATGCTGGCCAAATAAATCTGTGCAGATTTTTCCCATACAGCCTTCTTGCTTTATTTCTCCTGGTCTGAATTTTTCAGACCAAGTATGATTTTATATATGTTATATATGCTTGAAGCTGCATCAAGGGTCAGTGAGATTTACTTCACAGGAGGAAACCAAGGAGAGCAGAGGGGAGCAAGGGAAGTATGAAGCCTGGCCTGGTATGGCTGCAATGGTCAGGTGATAGAGCACTTTGGAAACCAGGCAGACAAATGGCTTTTGGTTCAGCAGGCGCATGGCTGAAGCAGTATACTTGGAAATTGGCTCTGAGAAACCAGAGCAAACTGTACAGAGGAAAGGGGAGAATGGAAGCCGGCGATTGGCTAGAAGGTGCTCTCGTAACCCTATCGGCTGCTTTGACAACACAGGACAATTTCATGAGAATCTCTCTCTCCTAACTTGATTCAACACAAGTTAAGATATTTCAATGACATAGTTATGCTTGTCTCTTAAAACAATTATTTGAAAAATAAGAGGTTTTTAACATTCTCTATTTGACTTCTGAGTCTCGCAAACCTCTGCTTGGTCTTTTAAGTTTACAAGTGAGATGGGCGCTGCCTCAGGAATATAAGAATTATTTTTTCCCCTTATATATAAACTTTATATACAAAACTTATACTTCGTAAGTATCAAACTATACATGAGGTAATATTAGGAAATAAACTGCTAGACTGTAGTATAAGATTAATTACAAATACTGACAAGACTCAGGAAAATTAAAAAATTAAGTACTCCTATTTATTCGCTTTTTATGCAATGAATTGCATTATCCACCTTATAAGGTTGTTATGAGACTTACATAAGAAGTGCCTTGCCCTCCTCCCTAGCCACAGCTGGGAAGTAAACCAATCGGCCTGGGCAGACAGCAAAAGGGCACTGACAGATGACTTGCTCTCCACCCCTCAGTTTCCTGCTTCTAAGGGCCTAGGATTTATCCTTGTTTCCTGCTTTCTTTGGTCTTGTCTGACAAACCTTTGCTTGGAGTATATGCAATTCCCTTTCTTGCTTTAGTGGGATTAGATGGCAATGAAAATAACTTTAATTCCTATTTTCAAACAGGACTTTGCTAAGAAGTATCACTAGCTTTGGTGTACTCTGCATGTCCAGCAAGTTGGTAATACTATTACTTTTCCCAGCAATAAAACAATATAACGATGATAGTTTCCATTTCATGGTATTTGTCTAATAATAATCAATACTACTATATAAAACTGCATATTTAGAATCTCATTATTTGTACTTGGAACATTTTGCATTTGAATCTTGTGTTAATGATACCACCACACTCCTAAAGTTTATACTGCACACAAGTATTTAATCTGACTACAGTTATAAACCAATGAGAAAGATAAATATTCTTATATTTTAACAATAGAAACATTAGGAACTCCAAATCTAGAAGTGGTATAGTAAGAGATATTGTTTCATTTTATTTATAATGGTAAGAAATTGGAAATAAATGTCTAACAATAGGAAACTGGTTTTTAAAAAATCATAGAGCCGTAATGTAAGCCATAAAATGAAATTGTGAACAACTATTGAAACTATGTTGTGACATATTTAATGACATAAAGAGAACTAACTCTGTTTTTACAATCCATCTACCAATCTCTCCTCAAACTCCTCTACCTTGTCACCCAGCCTCACTCAGCCTAACCTTGCTTCCTATTTTACCAAGGAAATCCAATCAATCAGAAGGGGTTTCTAGAATTTACTGTGACATTTACCCACCAGCCAGCATCTCTGCCATATATGCTCCTCTCCTATTCCAATGGCTGGAATGTCTCAGTGAAGACCAAGCCCTTCACTTGTACATTAGATCCCAGCTCTCTGTCCCATCCATTATGGAAGCTGCACATCATCCCAATCACACAAGAGGGCACTCTGACTGAGGAATGTTGTAAACTATTCCAAATCACCAGTCTTGAACAGTCTTGAACAGGCATGGGCGTAAATACTCATCTGTACAATGCTACCTACAGAAGAAAACAGAAAACAAAAGCACATCAGCTCATGGAAATTACCAGCTTAGCCGCCCTCACTCCCTACTCCCCTCTCCCAAAACAAAAACAAAAACATACAGCTGAAGAAAACAATTAAGCAAAAATCCACACTGAATTAAATACCCCTCTTTGGGAAAATTAAAGAACATTCTGAATTGAAATTCAAAAACTAAGATTAGAACTGAACCAAAAAAAGTAAATAATAAGACAAGAGTTGAATACCTCAGAAATGATAAACAAGAAAAAAATTATATTACAAATGAAGACTACATTACAAGAAAGAATACATTTGAATGGAAACATGACAAATATTATTGGGCAAAAGCAGAAAAAGAACAAAAAATGAGATAAAAAAGAAAAATTTAATAGAAAATAAAGAAAACACATTATACAGAAAGAAACAGTAACAATAAAATGACAGAAACTAATCCGAATATTTGGTCATTTCAATAAATGTGAATGGTCTTAATCCACGTATCAAAAGAAAAATATTTTTGGTTTAGTCTGTAGAGCAAAACCCAACTACAGGAAACAAACCAAAAATTATTCAGAAAAGCTAAAAATAGGCCGGGCATGGTGGCTCACACCTGTAATCCCAGCACTTTGGGAGGCCAAGGCAGCCATATCACTTGAGGTCAGGAGTTGGAGACCAGCCTGACCAACATAGTGAAACTCCATCTGTATTAAAAACACAAAAAAATTAGCTGGGCGTGGTGGCGTGTGCCTGTAGTCCCAGCTACTCAGAATGTTGAGGCAGGAGAATTGCCTCAACCTGGGAGGCGGAGATTGAGTGAGCCGAGATTGTGCCACTGCACTCCAGCCTGGTGCCTGGCAACAGAGGGAGACTCTGTCTCAAAAAAAAAAAAAAAAAAATTAGCTGGACGTGGTGGCACATGCCTGTAATTCCAGCTATTCAGGAGGCTGAGACACGAGACTCGCTTGAACCCAGGAGCAGAGGTAGCAGTGAGGAGAGATCATGCCACTTCACTCAAGCCTAGAAAACAAATCCAGACTCCGTCTCAAAAAAAAAAAAAAAAAAAGAAGAGAAAATAAGAGCTAAAAATAAAGTAATGAGCGAATGAATATTAAAAGCAAATGGAAACAAATTTTCAAGTTGCAGTACAGAATCCGAAACCACATCAATGAACTTTTTATACTGTTACATTAAAATCCATTGGTCTTTGTATGCTGAATGGATGCTTTATATATGTATAATTGTTTTATTTGGAAAGTATAAGTTTACTAATCTATGCAGATCTTCCACATGTTTCATTACATAGTACAGTGTTTTAAAAAAATCACATTCTTTAATGAATCTTGCCAAAAAAGTCTTCAGGTACAGGAAAGCTTTCAAGGTCACAGGGACAGGTCAAATGTTCTACAATTATAATTTTTGCTTAAAAGCTTGAATTTTATCATTAACAACAAATATTTTCAGTTGTCCTCAAAGTTCAGGGTCACTCTGTTCATTTGTGAAAAAGTTGCTGTCAAACATCTATATCTGAAAAAAAATTGCCCCTCAGTTTTGATTGTTTGTTTGGGTTTGGGTTTGTATGTGTGTCTGGTTTCTTGTGTTTTGTTTTGTTTTTGGTAGAGACAGGGTCTTATTGTGTTACCCAGGTTGGACCTGAATTCCAAGTCCTGCCTCCAGCTCCCAAGCAGCTGGGATTATAGGCTCACACCAGCACACCCAGCTCTCAGTTGTTCTTTCAAGTAAAAACTCATTCAGCTTGCAACTCAGATAATGGCACACACACTTTTCCTTAGGAATACAGTTGCAGAAGTACTTTATATATCTTCCCATTCTGCTAGGCTTAATGTTGAAAAGACTGTATGCATTGAGGTTTAATAACATTAATAATTGTTACTGCTTCATCAAGGACATTCTTAAATGCACCTTTCCCCAAACGCAGATGTTTTCAGAAGGGAACTCTACTGAAGGTTTAGAAACCAGGCAGTCTCAATGGAACATAAACTCTTCTAATGGAAATGTCTCTACTGTTTGCCGTATTGAGTATGGTGTTTTCTTATTAAGTTATATTTTATCATGTTTTAAAAAGTATTCCCCCCAATGATCTTCTATGCAGAAAACCCGACACACAAAAATCAGGTGTATTTCTACACACTAACAATGAACAATCTAAAAAGGAAATTAAAACAATTCAATTTACTATAGTCAAAAAGAATAAAATACAGTTGGCTCTTGAACAACACAAGTTTGAACTGTATGAATCCACTTATATACAGATGTTTTTCAATACAATGAAACATTTTTTGAAGATTTGCTACAATTTAGAAAAATATATATATAGATAAGAATCTATTTATGTGTTAATCATCTGTTTATGTTATTGGTAAGGCTTCCCGTCAGCAGCAGGCTATTAGTAGTTATGATTTTGAGGAGTGAAAAGTTATATGCAGATTTTTGACTGCACAAAGGGTCAGTAACCCTAATTTCTCTGTTGTTCAAGGGCCAAATGTACTTAGGAATTAATTTAACCAAGGAGGTGAAACTTGTATAATAAAAACTATAAAACATTGCTGAAAAAAAGTCAAAGGCACATAAATAAAAGACACCCCATGTTAATGGACTGAAAGATAATATTGTTAAGATGTTATTACTACTCAAAGCAAGCTACATATTCAATGCAATCTCTATCAACTTCAAATTGATGTTTCTTTCCAGAAATAGAATAATCTGTCTTAAAATTCATATGGAATATCAAGGGACAAATAGCCTAGAAATTTTTTGAAAAAGAACCAATTTGAGGGACTCACATTTCCTGAGTTCAAGTTAATACAAAGTGATAGTAATCAAAACGGAGTGCTAAAAGCATAAACGATAGACATATAGAGCAATGGAACAGAACAGAGAGGCTAGAAATAAACCCTCACATCTATGGTAAATAACTGCTGACAAACGTACCAAGACCATTCAATGATGGAAGGACAGTCTTTCAACAAATGATGCTAGGAAAACTGGATCTCCTCATGAAAAATAATGAAGTTGGACTACTGTCTTAGACAACATACACAAAATACATCAAAAACCTAAATGCAAGAGTTAAACCTATAAAGCTCCTAGAGGAAAACATAAGGGAAAATCTTCACAACACTGGATTTGAACATAATTTCTTGGATATGACATCAAAGGCACAGATAATAAAAGAAAAAATAGATTAAAATTGGACTTCATGAAAATTAAAAACTACTGGGACATCAAAGAACACTATCAACAGAATAAAAAGATAACCTACAGAATGGGAGAAAATACTTGCAAATCATGTATCTCATTAGTGATTAACACCCAGAATCCATACAGAACTCTTAAAACTCAACAACAAAAAAGGAAGTAACCCAATTCAAAAATGGGCAAAGACTTGAATAGACATTTCTCCAAAGATTATATGAATGGCCAATAAACACATAGATGTTCAACATCACTAACTGCGTATCAAAACCATGAGATGCTACCTCACATCCATTAAGATGACTACAGTATTCTTTAAAAACACACACACAACAGGCCAGGCGTGGTGGCTTATCCCTGTAATCCCAGCACTTTGGGAGGCCAAGATGGGCAGATTACTTGAGGTCAGGAGTTCGAGACCAGCCTGGCCAACATGGTGAAACCCCACCTCTACTAAAATACAAAAATTAGCTGGGTGTGGTGGTACGTCTGTAATTCCAGCTACTTAGGAGAGTGAGGCAGGAAAATCACTTGAACCTGGGAGGCCGAGGTTGCAGTGAGCTGAGATCAAGCCACTGTACTCAAGCCTGGGTGAGAGAACAACCCCGTCTCAAAACAAAACACATATACAACAAACAGAGTAAGTGTTGACAAGGATGTGGAGAAATTGAAGGAGGCTTTGTGTATTATTGGTGGGGATCTAAAATGATACAGCCACTGCAGAAAACAGGCACAAACAATCCTCTGACCTCAGCTTCCCAAGTAGCTGGGACTACAGGCATGTACCACCATACCCAGTTAATTTTTGTATTTTTTGTAGAGGTAGAGTTTCACCATGTTGCTCAGTCTGGTCTCAAACTGCTGGGCTCAAGTGATATGCCTGCCTCAGACTCCAAAATTATTGGGTTTACAGGTGTGAGCCACCATACTTGGCCCAAGCTTTGTTCTTTTTGCTGAAGACTGCCTTAGCTATTTGGGCTTTTTTGTTCCATATGAATTTTAAAATACATTTTTCTAGTTCTATAAAGAATGTTATTGGGAGTTTGATAGGAATAGCATTGAATCTGTAAATTGCTTTTGGTAGTGTGGCCATTTTAATAATACTGATGCTTCCCATCCATGAGCATGGAATGTTTTTCCATTTGTTTGTCATCTCTGATTTCTTTGAGCTGTGTTTTGTAATACTTGTTATAGAGGCCTCTTTGGTTAGCTATATTTTTGCTGTCGTTATTGTGAATGGGACTGCATTCTTGATTTGGCTCTCTGCTTGGCTGTTGTTGGTATATAGGAATGGTACGCCTACAAAATCAAAATGCTACACCTATAAAAATCAGCAATCTTTGTACATTGATTTTATATCCTGAAACTTTGCCGAAGCTATTTATTAGATCCAGGAACCTCTAGGCAGAGACGACAGGGTTTTTCAGGTATAGAACCATGTCATCTGTGAACAAACAGTTTGACTTCCTCTCTTCCTATTTGGATGCCTTTTACTTCTCTTACCTGATTGCTCTGGCTAGGACTTCCAGTATTATGTTGAACATGAGTGGTGAGAGAGGGCATCCTTATCTTAATACAATTTTAAAGAGGAATGATTCCAGCTTCTGCCCATTCAGTATGATGGTGGCTGTGAGTTGTTCATAAACGGCTCTATTTTGAGGTATGCTCCTTCAATGATTAATTGGTCGAGGGTTTTTAACATGAAGGAATGTTGAATTTTATCAAAAGCCTTTTCTGCATATATTGAGATGATAGGTGGTTTTTGTTTATAGTTTTATGTGGTGAATCACAATTATTGATTTGTTTATGTTGAACCAAATTTGCATCCCAAGAATAGAGTCTTCTTGATCATGATGAATTAGCTTTTTGATGTGCTGCTAGATTTGGTTTGCTAATTTTTTGTGGAGGATTTTTGCATCTATGTTCATCAAGGATAACAGCCTGAAGTTTGTGTGTGTGTGTAAGTATGTGTGTTTGTCTCTGCCAAATTTTGGTATTGGGATGATGCTGACCTCATAAAATGAGTTTGGGAGGAGCCCTTCCTCCTCAATTTTTGGAAAAGTTTCAGTATGAATGTAACAGCTTTTCCTTATACGTCTGGTAGAATTCGGCTGTGAAAGTGTCTGGTCCTGGTCTTTTTCTAGTTGATAGGCTTTTTACCACTCATTCAATTTTGGAACTCATTATTGGTCTGTTCAGGGATTCAATCTCTTCCTGATTCAATCTTGGGAGGTTGTATGTTTCCAGGAATTTATGAATTTCTTCTAGATTTTCTAGCTTGTATGAAAATAGAGGTGTTCATAATAGTCGCTGGGGGCTTTTGGATTTTTGTGGGATCAGTGGTGATGTCCCCTTTGTCATTTCTGATTGTGTTTATTTGGATCTTCTATTTTTCCTTTATTCATCTACAGTAGATAGCACTCTATCTTATTAATTCTTACAAAGAACTAGCTCCTAGATTCATTTCTTACGCAATGGTTTTTCACACCTCATTTCCCTTTTTTATTTTCTCATCCAGCGTTCTGACACACCTCAATTTCCTTCAGTTCAGCACTGATTTCGGTGGCTATCTAAGTCACTTCGCATGTCTTGTCTTCTCCTAGCCTTGGGCTGGTTTGCTCTTGTTTCTCTGGTTCCTCTAAGTGTGATGTTATGTTGTTGATTTGAGTTCTAATTTTTTCATGTGGGCATTTAGTGCTATAAACTTTCCTCTTAACACTGCTCTGGCTGTGTCCCAAAGATTCTGACATTTTATATCCTTTTTCTCATTAAAGAATTTCTTGATTTGTACCTTAATTTCATTATTTACCCAGAAATTCAGGACCAGGTTAATTGTTTTGAGTGATTTTCTTAGTATTGATTTTTATTTTTCTTGTATAGTGATCTGAGAGTGTGAGTGGGATGATTTGGGTTTTTTAAAAAAAATTGCTGAGGATTATTTCATGCCTGGTTGTGTGGTCATTTTTAGAGTATATGTCACGTGCAGACGAGCAGAATGTCTATTCTGCTGTTTGGGGGTGGAAAGTTCTGTAGATGTCTATTAGGTCCATTTGGTTAAGTATGGAGTTCAGGTCCCAAACATCCTGGTTACTTTTCTGCCTCAATGATCTAATACTGTGGGCGGACTGTTGTCTCCCACTATTATTGTGTGGTTATTTAAGTCACTTCATAGGTCTTTAAAAATCTTTGTTAAAGTCTGTTTCGTCTGAGATTAGAATACAGCCAAGATTGTGCCACTGCACTCTAGCCTAGGCAACAGAGAGCATGGTGACTCATGCCTGTAATCCCAGCACTTTGGGAGGCTGAGGTACATGGATCACCTGAGGTCAGGAGTTCAAGAACAACCTGGCCAACATGGTGAAACCCCATCTCTACTAAAAATACAAAAATTAGCCGAGTGTGGTGACATGCACCTGTCATCCCAGCTACGCAGGAAACTGAAGCAGGAGAATCGCTTGAACCCAGGAGATGCAAGTTGCAGCGAGCTGAGATTGTGCCACTGTACTCCAGCCTAGGTAAAAGAGCAAGACTCCATCTCAAAAAAAAAAAAAAAGAAAATCTTTTTATAATACAGAATTCAAAAGGATTATAAAACAATACTATAAACAAATTTAGGCCAACAAAATAGACAACTTAGATGAAACAGCAAAATTAATAGAAAGATACAAATTACCAAAGCTGATTTAAAAAAAAAATCTGAATAAACTTATAACGAGGACAGAAATTGAATCTGTTTTATAAAATCTTCTAATTAAAAAAAAAAAACGATAAAACAGCTCAGGCCCAGTTGTCTGACTGGTGAATTAAAGGAGAAATAACAACAATTTTGCATGAATTCTTCCAGAAAATAGAGGAAGTGGGAACACCTTTAACTCATTTTAGGAGGCCAGTACTACCTTAATACGAAAGTCAGAAAAAGACATCACAAGAAAAGAAAGATACAAATGAATACCCCTCATAATGAAAAAGATGCAAAATTCCTTAATAAAATATTAGCAAATGAAATCTAATAATAAATTATATCCAATATTACCAAGTGGGGTTTATCTTAAGAATGCAAGATTTGTTTTACAACTAATATATCATGTGACTAGAATAAAGGGAAAAATTATATGGTCATCTCAACAGATGCAGAGAAATCATCTGATAAAACCCAAGATTCATCCATGATAAAAGTGCTCAAAAAACTAGAAATGAGAGAACTTCCTTGAACTAGAGTATCTATAAAAACCTACAGCTAAAATCATATGTAATGGTAAAAGACTGAATGTTTCTGCCAAATATCAGGACAAAGGCAACATTATCTGCTCTCGCTTCTATTTAACCTTGTATAGGAGGTTCCAGTCAGTGAAATTAGGCACAAAAAGAAATAAAAAGCATCTAGGTTAGAAAAGAAGAGGTAAAACTGTCTTTATTCTCAGATAACATAATCCTATATATACAAATTCCTAAGGAATACACACACACACACACACACAAAACCTACTAGGGCTAATAAATGAATTCAAAGTCTTGGGAAATGATCAAAAACAAAAATAAATTCTATTTCTACATACTACCAACAATCAATCTAAAAATAGAGGTAAGTGACAATTCCATTCAACAGCACCAAGCACAATATGTAGGAATATATTAACTAAAAAGTGTACACTGTACACTTGTACGATGAAAATTACAAAACTGAGAGAAAATGAAGATCTAAATAAATGGAGAGACATTCCATACTCGTAGATCAGAATTCTATGTGCAATTCTCCACAGATTCTATGCAATCCCTATCAAAATCTCAGCATGGGGCCGGGCGCGGTGGCTCACGCCTATAATCCCAGCACTTTGGGAGGCCGAGGTGGGTGGATCACAAGGTCAAGAGATCGAGACCATCCTGGTCAACGTGGTGAAACCCCATCTCTACTAAAAATACAAAAATTCAGCTGGGCATGGTGGCGCGTGCCTGTAATCCCAGCTACTCAGGAGGCTGAGGCAGGAGAATTGCCTGAACCCAGGAGGTGGAGGCTGCGGTGAGCCGAGATCGTGCCATTGCACTCCAGCCTGGGTAACGAGAGCGAAACTCCATCTCAAAAAAACAAAAAAACAACAACAAAAAAAACAATCTCAGCATGGGTTTTTTGCAGAAATTTGCAAGCTGATCCTAAAACTTACATGGAAAAGCAAAAGATCCAGAGTAGCCAAAACAATCTTGTGGTTGTTTTTGCTATGCACCATTACTGTACCAACTATTAATATAATTCCCAAAGGATGAAAATATAAATGTATAAAGCAAAGCTCCAAAACTTAAAAAAAAAAGTTAAATTACTTTACAGCCTTATGATAAAGAATTTAAATGAGACACAAAACATAAAACTAACCAGAAACAAAAAGATTACCAAAATAAGTCATTCTACTCATTGAGATGGTTCAAAAAAAAAAAAAAAAATTGTAGACTTCCAACAAAATGGGAGAAGACCTGCCACACATAACTCAAAGAATTATATAAAAACATAAGAAATCAATCTATAAAGGACAATCAGACCAATAAAAACATGAGCAAAAGACATTAACAGGCATTTCACCAAAGATGAAACTCAAAAGCCAGTAAGCATAAGAAAAGATGCTGTACTTCATGCAAATTAGGTTAAGAAATTCTATTTTACATCCACTAAACTGGTTAAAAAAAATTCAAGTATTGACAGCATAAAGTATGGGCAAGTGTAGAATAATAGGAGTTCTTCTACAGTTTGTAGGAGTATAAATTGATACAACTACTTGAAAAAACTGATGTTATGTTAAATTTTATGATGATATAATTCTACTCCTTGTCACATACTGTGGATAACTTGTGCACATTCATACCAAGAGGTATGTACGTGGATATTTACAACAAGACTTCGTATTTTTAAAAATTGAAAATAACCTAAATATTAATAGAATGACTAAATAACAGAAACATAGAATGAAATGTTATATAGAAGTAAAAATGAATGACAGCTGCATGCATCTACGTGAATGAATAATGTTGAGTGAAAATAGCCATGTCATCAATTAATACAGAGAGTATGATAAAGTCTAAATAACATCCAAACATAAGCAAAACTAATATATTGTTTTGTGAATTGTACATATTTGGTAAATCTACAAAGAGACACAAGAGGAGAATAAAAATATACATGATAGACAAGCCCACACAAGGAAGCAGGCTGATGTAGATCCATATAGGTATATAAATATATCAAATATTTTATAAATATTTTTTAGTGCCAGAGAAAGAAGAAAAATACTTCTATTTGAGAAAATGGAAAAAGCCCTATTGAGGCTGACATGCCAACTTCTGGAGATGTTCAAAGGAAAAAAAATGTAGTAAATTCTAATTTTACCTTTTTATGTCTATTTTATTTACATGATGTCTTTTCAGTATCCAAAACCTAATATGAAAAGAAAATCACATAATCATTATTAAGCATTCATGTCTAATTTACATATACTGTCATACTATTATAATTTTCAAATTATTCCAATCACATTCATCCTAATAATCATCTAATATTATTTACTACTACGACAGGAACTGCAAAACTTATTTTATATATATCACTTTTCCATATCTATTTCATACAAATAAACAACTAAATATTTGTTACAACTTCTAATTCCACATTAAACTTCGTTCATATTTTCAACCTAAAAATATCTATAAACAAGAACCTTTGGCTTCGTAATATTTACACATGCTCAATGGAACATTTTGCCACGAGATCGTATGGTTGGTTTCAAAAGACTTTTATTTTCATGTATACTTAGATTGAATTTTTAAGAGACTAGCTCCAGCTAACATGAGAAATAAAAGAATACAAATGACTATAATTTTTCTTTTCTCACAGACTGAAAGAATATCTGAAGAAAACATTTTGAAATTTCTACTTAACTATTCTTTGATGTAATTCTAGAATGTTTATAAACCCATAACTTGTAGCTTTCCTTCCAAGACTCTTTATAACAGGAATGCTATTTCTCTTATTTGTTTTATTTAGCTTAGCTTAGCTATTAAAATGGCTTAATTACACTGAAGATTTTACGATCATTCCAACTTAAATCAGCAATGAATATACATCTTCCTTTCAGCTGCAAGGAAACATATACAAATGAAAAATATTTAAACTGGATTCTTAAATTATCAGTCCTAATATATCCCATATGCTAATCTATGAGGTACTGTCCTTAATTATCTTCAAATGCTCATCCTTAGTTCAAATATATTCCTTAAAAAAGAAAAAAAAAAAGATTAAAAATTATACTCACTTTAGCCAATAATTCTTGTGTTTCAGGAGTCAATGGAGCATGAGAAAATTTGCAATATTCTCCCTGATAACATTTTGTTCCTGTATGGTAAAACTTACAAGGATATTCATGTAACGCAAGTGTTAAGGAAGAGAACAATTTTAATCCAACTGAAATAATGTTACTAACTTAATGACTTTATTTTTCCTAAATAAAGCCTCTGTGGCCAGGCACGGTGGCTCACACCTGTAATTGCAGCACTTTAGGAGACTGAGGTGGGTGGATCACTTGAAGCCAAGAGTTAGAGACCAACCTACCCAACATGGCGAAACCATGCCTCTACTAAAAATACAAAAGAATTAGCAGGCATGGTGGCACAGGCACACCTGTAATCTCAGCTACTCAGGAGGCTGAAGCACCAGAATCATTTGAACTTTGGAGGCAGAGGCTGCAGTGAACCGAGATTGTGCCACCGCACTCCAGCCTGGGATACAGAGTGAGACAATGTCTTAAAAAAAAAAAAAAGACCTTTCCTACTAGTAGAAACTGGATTTCTCTATTTAAAATACAAGATAATAAATTATTAACTGAATTACATTTAAAAATCTTAATTTTAGGCCTGGCGTGGTGGCTCACACCTGTAATCCCAGCAGTTTGGGAGGCCGAGGTGGGCGGATTGTGTGAGGTCAGGAGTTCAAGACCAGTCTGGCCAACGTGGTGAAATCCCATCTCTACTAAAAATACGAAAACATTGGCAGGGTGTGGTGGCATGCACCTGTAATCCCAGCTACAAGGGAGGCTGAGGCAGGGAAATTGCTTGAGCCAGGGAGGTAGAGGTTGCAGTGAGCCAAGATCACGCCACTGTACTCCAGCCTGGGCGACAGAGCTAGACTCCGTCTTAAAAAAAAAAAAAAAAAAAAGTCTAATTTTAGAAAGACTACATAAATAAATCAAGTGTATTGGCTATCAGGTCACTCTTTTCCTTCATGTCCATTCTTCTAATAGAGTACAGACATGTTTCATATATGAAAGAGATAAATATTTTAAATACTTTGATAAATGTGATTATTTTTAAAGCATTCCTTTGTGGGTGGAGGAATCAAAGTCAACGATGACATGTCTTACAAATCTGGATCCTTTGTACATTAGACTTGTTTACAACAGAATAAATTTATATAACTTGAATACTGTTTTCTAGGAAAAAAAATCCTCAACTTATAATTTGATATTCCTTATATTCAATGCCTGAAGAAAAAAATTTTTGTGATGACTAAAGCCATTATTAACCTAAAATGTTTACGTTCCATGTATTGTCAACTTGTCTGTGCCATTTGCACTGAAGAATTAAGGTTATTCTGCAAATTAAGAGACAATTTCTACATAGTACAGAATACACAGAAAACACGTACTCCCAAATTATGTAATCCCTGCCTTTTTATGATGTAGCTTATCTGAATATAGATTCAATTAGTCAATATCACAGTAGAAATTGTGATACTCTTTCTGGGAAAAACTTGAAGACTTGAAGAGGTCTCATGGACCCTCTATACCACCCAGGTTGAGCAGAAAGAATCATCATTTGAGAGATTTTCTAAAGAATTCCTCTTCTCTTGCTTATGAAAATTCCATGTACAATTTAATCACTTTGATACTAAGTTGGGCTTGGATAGTATCATTTTGGTATAGCTAAAACACTGGTTTTGTTAAAAATTTTGCACATTTAAAATGTTCCTGTAAATATTTATAAAGAGTAAAGTCACTATATCTTGTGATAAAGGATATTATGCAAATACAGACAGTTTTCACCTCTGGTACAATATCCTTGTACATAAAACTTACACATTTCCTTTTTCTTCTCTATCTCTGCATCATGATCAAATTTACACTGGTCTCCCTAGGCCAAAAGAAGGAGAAAGGAAAAGCCATTATTTCTAATAGTCAACTCATTACAATTTAATTCCTACTAAACTTTAAGCAAATGATTCCACAAAGAACCAAAGTCTTAGAGGTAGCACATTCTAATTCTTAATAAATTATCTAACCACGTCACATGTATCTGCTTAAAATTCTAAGTCCCAAACACTTTTAAGCACAAAGCATTTTTTCAAATTATCTACTTTTTTTTTTTTTTTTTTTTTTTTTTTAAAGTTCTCTCTATTGCCCACGCTGGAGTGCAATAGCACGATCACGGCTCACTGCAGCCTTCACTTCCCAGGTTCAAGTAATTCTCCTGCCACAGCCTCCCAAGTAGCTGGGACTACAGGCATGCATCACCACACCTGGCTAACTTTTGTATTTTTGTAGAGAGGGAGTTTCACCATGTTGGCCAGGCTGGTCTTTAACTCCTGAGCTCAGGTGATCCGCCCACCTCAGCCTTCCAAAGTACTGGGATCACAGGCGTGAGCCGCCCCGTCCGGCTACTTTTTAAACATAAAAGAATACTTAACTGAAATTTTCTAACTGAATTTTTTCCAGAAGGAAACAGTTTTAAAAACCTAAAGGTATGAATTAAAAGGGTGTACAACAGAAAGAGCAGTTTTACATTTTAGATTTTTGCTTACACATTTTTATACCTTAATACATTTTCTTTCAAGAAAATATTTACAAATTTGTTTTCCTTTGCGTTCCACTGTATGTTGATTGATGAATGCCTGACTCAAATGCTGCTGCTTCTCTTTAGGTTTACCATCCTTTAAAAACAAAAACAAAAAAATAAATGTAAGAAAAAGAAAATTAAATATTTTATTCTGATACACAAAATTATTTAAACCAACTTCAAAGCCTTAAAGGGTGACTCTTCTAGATTGGCCTTCATATGTAAAATTTGGATTTCTGTATACCAGGTTAAAAATAAATGTTTTGTTCAACAGCATTCCATCATTGAACATTCATGTTTGTATGATTTGCATATTTTATCATAGATTGCCCTTATTTTGTAAAAATGATTGAAAAACATTTTTAAATGGGCTAGACGAGGTGGGCAGATCACTTGAGGTCAGTAGTTCGAGACCAGCCTGGCCAACATGGCGAAACCCCATCTCTATTAAAATATAAAAATTAGCTGGGCATCGGGAGGCTAAGGCAGAAGAACTGCTTGAACCCAATGTAGGCTGCAGTGAGCTGAGATCATGCCACTGCACTCCAGCCTGGGCGACAGAACAAGACTCCATCTCAAAAACAAAAACAAAAAAGAAATTTTTTTTTAAATGAAAGTGATTGTATTATAATTAAAAAGCAAAGTCTAAGAACAAAGATCTTTACAGCAATAGAGACAAAGCTGGAAATCAGAGAGTGAACCAAAAGCAGTGGAATCTACAGTTTCAACGAGATGCTCACTGGGTGAGTTGAGTACACTTACAAGCTCAAATTAACAGTCACTACAAAACTAGAAATATACCCTCAAAGATGGTGATAAATGTATAAAAGATTTTTACATATAAAAAAAGGAAATTTTATAATACATTTAAGCTCTTCAGGAACATAGGTACTTTTTTACATGTTAACTTGTGCTACAGCTTATAGCTTTCTGTATACCAAATTTTTGAATATATTTTAGGAATACAGTATGTACAAAGAAATTGACTGTATAGTCATTTACAATAATGTCAAATTTGCACTTAGCACCATCAAATTTATGTCTTATAAATATCTGCCAGTTTAAATCTTTTGTTTTATTTGATAATATTATTAAATTCTACTATACATGTTTAGAATTTGTTCCTTGTGTAGAAGGGCTGCCAGCTTTGGCTAAATAATCATTTGAGTCATGTAAATCAAATCAAAGAGAATACTGACAGGGGGTTGGGAAACAAAATCCTAGTCCTGGCTTGGCCCTGTGTGACTATGGGTAATTACTTTAACCACAGGGCTTCAGATTCCTCATTTATAAAGTATAGAGGCAGGGTTAGATTGTATACAAATATTTTTCAATCTAGAATATTTGGTATTTCTAATATTTTACCACCCCTTACCCTTGTCCCCTGTGACCAAGCCTAATAAAAAAAAGTTGCCATCCAGTTAAAAACCCTCAGAAAAGTGGAATCCAGAAGAGGTACTTATTATTCTACTCTGATTACATTTACAGAACAAGGAAAAGGAACTTCTAAAAACCAAAATCAAAATACAGAAAGGTAGGAGTGGGGAGATTTGGTAAGGCCAATGCTCAGAAATATTCATTTTTAATTTGTAGAAGGAGTCAGGATGAGGGACTTTGGTAGTAAAAAATTTGTAAGATTCAGTGGGCTTTGAAATGCCTCTTGACTATTTGATCTTCTCTGGGCTTCCCACTTTTCTAGTCATTGACAGTACAACACTAAAAAAAAAAATCAAGGAACAGCCAGGTACAGTGGCTCACACCTGTAATCTCAGCACTTTGGGAGGCCCAGGCGGGTGAATCACCTGAGGTCAGGAGTTCGAGACCAGCCTGCCTTGGTGAAACCTCATCTCTACTAAAAATACAAAAACTAGCCAGGCATGGTGGCATGCACCTGTAGTCCCAGCTGCTCAGGAAGCTGAGGCAAGAGAATCACTTGAACCCGGGAGGTAGAGGTTGTAGTGACCTGAGATAGTGCCACTGCACTCTAGCCTCGGTGACAGAGCCAGACTCCACCTCAAAAAAATCAAAGAGCTTGTGTGCATATATTCACCAACAACAGTGAGAATACTAAGGCTTAAAAGTGCTGCTGGCAGCTAATTAGTGAGAAAAACAAAGCTGCAATAAAAAGAACACAGAGAACCCAGTGATAGTAAAAGGACACCTTCATCCAAAAATCCTGATTCTGTGGGATGTTTCCACCTCTCCATATCACACAGCACTTCTTGCCACTGAAGTATAAGATAAACTCCAAAAGCATGCAGGGGTCAGGTATTCCTAGCACATGTTCTTATACCTCTTCCTGTGAATTTGATCCTTTGTTTCCAGTGCCAGGCCATTTTCGCTTCATTTTCTTCTGTTTGCCATTTTTGTGACCAGCTTTAAGATTTTTATTTTTTTGTTTAGCAGCTAAAAATAAAAAGTTAATTTTAAAAATGACATAAAGTTACAACAGCAGTTTACTTTTAAGAAGTACAGGGCCAGGTGCAGTGGCTCATGTCTGTAATCCCAGCTCTTTGGAAAGCTGAGGCAGGCAGACTGCTCAAGGCTAGTAGTTCAAGACCAGCCTAGGCAACTTAGTGAGTTCTTGTCTCTACAAAAACTTAGCTGGGTGTGGTGGTGCATGCCTGTAGTCCAGCTATTCTGGGACTACAGGTTAAGGCAGGAGGATTGCTTGAACCAAGAAGTTCAAGTGAAAGTATTTCTTGGACACCGAATACAGGAGGGAGGAATTTATTTTAGCTGGGAGCAAGGTGGCATAGGTGCCTAACAGCCAAGCTCGTTTAACAAAGGGAGGTTCAGCCTTTATATAGGCCTATACTTTAGATGTTACACGTGGAAGAATCTTAGGTTCATAGTTTTAGGACTCACATGTGAAAAGGTTTTGGTTTACAGTTTCAGGAATCACATATGAAAGGGTTCCGGTTTACAGTTTCAGGACTCACATGTGAAAAGGTCTCTGTTTACAGTTTTAGGAGTTACATATGAAAGGGTTCCAGTTTACAGTTTTAGGACTCACATGTGAAAAGGTTTCTGGTTTGATCTTGTTTTAAGTAAAAATAGTGCCTTCTGGAGAGTTTCCCTAAGGCCTAGCCTATTGTTTTCAGGAAGGAGGCTCAGGAAGCGCCAGCTGGCCCGCTCTCTCTTCTATTGAGATGCACAGTGGATGACAGACGGGGAGGGAATCCCAAATGTCTGGGTCTCCCTCCTCACCCCCCCCCACTTTGAGACCCTCACCATTTTATATTAGTGAGAGGTCTCACTTTTATTTTTGCTTTTTAGATTTTTTGAAGAAACTGATAATGTTTTACATAATATATGTGTGATGTTATTTTTGGCTAATACAGCAGTGATGAATTCCTTAATTATTTGAAGGAACAGGGGGAGTAGACAAGGGAACAACAAACACACACCTATTATTATTATAACACTTTTGATGAGGGTTTTGAATCCTTCTAAGGATGAGAACCAACCTTTAAATAAGGACTTAGGGTTAAATTCATGCCATACCTGTACAGGTACATGTGCTAGTTTGGTTATGTTTTGCACAATACTTTTTACTGCCTGCCCCTGGTTATTTATGTGCAGACAGCAGTTGGTTAGACTGAATTTCTTACAGACTTTTTCTTTGGCTGCTAGCAAATAACTTAGGGCCAGCCGGTTTTGGTAAATGATGTTTTTTATTTGAGTTTTTTGGTTGTTGTTGTTGGGCTAAAAAGGGACAGAGCTTAGCTCATTTTATTAGTGAGTATTTTTACAACAGCCTGCAACCGGATGATACGCTGGAGCATGTAAATAGGGGTTTGGTATTTCTATGAGCTACTCTTTGCCCATGTGGCCGGCCCATAATACTTAATAGTTTCTTTTGGTGGCCACTTACTATTTGTTTATTTTCCCATTTGTAGGTTTTTTTTTTTTTTTTTTTTTTTGAGACGGAGTTTCGCCCTTGTTACCCAGGCTGGAGAGCAATGGCACGATCTCGGCTCACCGCAACCTCCGCCTCCTGGGTTCAGGCAATTCTCCTGCCCCAGCCTCCTGAGTAGCTGGGATTACAGGCACGCGCCACCATGCCCAGCTAATTTTTTGTATTTTTAGTAGAGACGGGGTTTCACCGTGTTGACCAGGATGGTCTCGATCTCTTGACCTTGTGATCCACCGCCCTCGGCCTCCCAAAGTGCTGGGATTACAAGCGTGAGCCACCGCGCCCAGCCTTTTTTTTTTTTTTTTTTTTAAGGGGAGTAGACTGAATACATTAACAGCCCACCTGTCTTAACAAATAGGAAGAAAGAGGGCGTAATGATGCCTATGACGCAGCTATTTGTTTATTTTACGGATTACACACCTTATATTGAGTACTATTATATAAACAGGTTTTCTTTTGTTTCTGTATAAGAACTGTAGGACAAAAGAATAGCAGTAACTATTATGCCTTACTTGGTATACATCCTGAGGGTATTTTTTTAAATTAGTTAATGTTTTTACTGTACAAGTTTAAATATTAAAAAGAACAAGTTTTATGATGAATTTTTTTATGCTTCAGCCATGCGTGGACCAGTTAGCTTTTAGGATGTGGCTGGAGCAAGGCTTGCTGTCCTTTTTAAGGTGATTCTGCAGTCCCTGCCTTGGTCCAAGTCTCAAGTGTTGCTGGTTTTTCACACGGCCATGGTGGATTTAGGCTGGGATTCCCTTTACATTCACGGCTGTGGGATTGGTTAGGATTAGGTTTGAGGTTTTTTTTATTATGGCTTTAGAGGGACTGTACCCCTGTTCTTTATCTATACATGATTACCTAGTGAGAAAGGGTGAACTGGGGAGAAAAAGGCTTAGAGAACATTTGTTATTTACTTAGGTTGCAGTATTTTAAGCGATTCTCCCTAGGGCTAGTAACTAGCATTTTAACTTAATTTCTCCTCACTCTTGAGTTTCTAGGAGTGCCTAGAGTAGGGGAGGAGGTTTACGGTATAAGACTTTATAGGGGAATATTTTGTTTTTCCTAAAGGGGGTGCCTTTAATTTTGAGTAACACCAAGGGAAGTGCCTGCACCCACTTAAATTTTGTTTTCTGACACACTTTCCCTAAGCTGTTTTTGATGGTCCGATTTATTTTTTTACTTTTTCGGAACTTTGAGGCCAGTGGGCAGCATCCAGTTTTTAGGTGATACTTAAAGCTGTTGCTGTTTTTTGGACTAAATTTTTTACAAATGCTGGTCCGTTGTCTGATTCGATGCATAGTGGCAGTTTAAACTTAGGGATAAGATTTCGAAACAGCACACGCATTACTTTATGGGCCCTTTTAGTCCCATCTAGAGTATGTGCGCACCAGGACCAACAAATACTTATGTCCCCTACACTTGGACATTTTAGTAAAGTTTACCTGGAGATTTTTAAACAGAGCTGCTTCGTAAGCTTGAATGCCAGGGAGAATAGTTGAGACCCTGCCTTACATTGTGTTGCTGACATGTAATGAATGCATTGCTGTGCTACAGTTTTAGTTAAGGCTGAGAAGGGTAAGATGTAAAAGTACTGACCTAGCATTTTTAAGTGACTTTTGACCTTAACGAGTGGTTTTACGTATGGTTTGTACAACTACTGCACATAGCAGGCTCTGGTATTTGGCAGGCTTACCAATGAGGTTTTTTGGTCATTAGAGTTACCGCTGTGTGGGGTGCTTTGATATTTAAATTTTTTCTAGAGTTGAGGCTAGAATCTTTGATTGCTATTTTTTTTTTTTTTTTTTTGATAGCATGAAAAGGCTGTGTTAAAATTGGCTAACCCTAAAGCTAGGGCTAACAGAAGCTTTACTTTTAGCTTTTGCCCTATTTGGAGGGTGTTTTGGTTTTTTCCCTCCCCACTTTGTCACTTTGTGTAAGGGTTTGGCCAGTACTGCAAAGTTTGGAAATTTACAATTTACAAAACCCACCACTCCCAGGAGCTTTCTCACCTGCTTTTTAGTCTTAGGTTTCGTTACTTTGCAAGCGGCTTGCTTTCTCTTTGCTTTTAGGCTGCGTTCCCTCTGCTAGATGGCAAGCCTTAAATATCGCATTTGCTTTTTGGCAAATTAGGGCTTTTCTTTTAGACACTTTATACTCACAGTTCTCAAGGTGCTGAAGTAAGGCATTTGTTTGCGCACCCGACTACTGTGGGGTGTCCTAAGTAGGTTATTAGCATACGGAGGCAGCATGCAAGCAAGAAGCTTTTGGGGGATGGTTACAGGCTGATGCCTCCCCAGCGATGATGGGAGTTTTTGAGCCCCTGGGAAGCTGGGTTTAGGTGCATTGAGTGGTTACACCTGCTTTTGGGTTTTTCCCATTGAAATGCAAATAGTTTTTGACCCTTTAAGGCCAGTTTAATGCTAAGGAGGTATTTTTTAAGTTTAATTAAATGAACTAACTATTCGCTGCTGGCAATAATTTTAACTGCGTGTATAAGTTGGGTGCAAAGCTACCCAAACCCTGCACTGGCCTGGGCGATAATATTAGTTTTTTGCTTTTGGCTAGGAAGTTTTTACCCTCCTTCCTAAGGGGACAATGAAAGCCTGGATGACCCCTGACTGAGGCAGCTTTAGCTGCAGGTAGTTTTTTTTGTTGAATGGGATAGTGGCCCTTGATTTGCACAACAGGTTTTGCCAGAGAAGGGGGGCAGGGACAATTTATTAAGTACAAGAAAGCTTGTTTTCTTAATACCTTAATAGATTTAACAACACTGGCCTTGTTCCTTTTGATGGGGGGTTACAGGTCTGTTGTTTGACCATGGGTTCTTTGGGGGCATGAGTTCAGCCCCCCCTCTTTTTTAGTTCAGTGGCTCTTTTATTAGGCTGAACAGGGCCCCTTTTCGCTTATTTGGTTTCTCCTGCTTAGGATTGTTCTGCTCCTTAGTTAACTGTGGACATTTTTTTTTCTAGCATCCTATTTCTTAACAGAATGCACACTGAGTGCATTGCAGGCCCTGGCGGGCAGACTGTGGGGCTTTCCAGGAACCCCCCTTTTTTTACACTCTTGGGGGTCCTGGTAATTTGCAGGAACATGCTCCTCCAGCCAATTGGAAGCAGCTTGGAGTATTTTTCACCTTTTGTTTGTGTTAAAAAGATACATAAGCAGCTGATGGCAATCAGCCCAAATGGGGTTATGAGTTTGAATAATAGTTTGCAGTAGATTAATGAGAGCTTGGGGTTTTTTGTTATAAGATGGGTTATTTTTTTAATTGATAAGATTAGCCGAGGTGAATCGCAGGTACGTGAAAACACGCCTTTTTACCATGTGGCCATTCTTGTCCACTTTTGTATACCTTTGCTCTCTTAAAGGCATTTGCACCCTAGCCTTGGGTCAAAGAAGGGCTGCCAGAGGGGGAGTTCCCTCTGGGAAGCCGGCAGCAATGGGCAGAGTTTTTCTATATTCTCTTTTGTTTGCTCTGGAGGATTTTAGGGGTGTGCAGCTCTGGTGGGGATGCTGAGGCTTGTGGCCCAGGGGCAGGGAGTCTTTGAGGAGGAGGAAGCATTATTGACAAAAACTCTTCTGTCGCTGTGTTGACAAAAACTTTGGGAGCCATTGTTTCTGCCACTGAATTTGCCCGGGCCTTGGGAGTTGGCTTTTTTCGGTGGCGAGGGGGATGGTGGTTTTTAGCAGTTTGTTCTTTGGCTACTAAAACGGTTGCTGCCTGCTTTTTTAGCTACTTTGGAGAGTTTAACATTAACTGTAACTACGAGTTTATGTACGGAAATTGATTGAGGTGTTTTAGCTTGCCGCATATAACGTTATGCTTTACTTTGGAGACAAGGGACTTGTTTAGGGTCCCCTTTGGGGGCTAACTTACTTTAAGTGCTGGCTAATTTTCTCTACATAAAACCTTTAATTTTTTTGGTGTTATAGTTACTTTATAATTTTTACTAAATTCCTTCTTGAAATTTTTTAGCATGGTTTTTAAAGGGGTGGAATGGCTATGGAAATGACCTATATAAACACTTCAAAGAAACAATTTTCACAGTTAGGAGAGTGTTAGTTCCCAGCAGTTCCTTGTCTTGCCTAGCAAGACGCAGCACGGAGCACTCTCTGATTTACATTCACTTTAATACTTTTACAACGCCTAGAGGCTTTTTTACTTAAGCCTTCTGTGGCAGTTTTTAATTTTTACAAATTGCTTGACGCCTGAAGCCCTTTTTAATGGGCCTGATACTTTTTACGACTGATGAGTCCAGCTGGACACATCTACACACATAGACACACATTTAATTGCTCTCTTTTAAATTTAAAACCATAAGCAAAAGCTTTTAAGGTTATAGAGAGGGCTACTGTCCAACGTGCCGATCTGGCCCTCGTGGGTGATTAGGACACGCTTTTACCCAAAATGGGGTGGGCTACTTTTTTGGGTTTAATCTTCTCTTACAAATTGCTTGACGACACAGACACACATTTACACACACAGACACACATTTGATTGCTCTCCCTCCAATTTAAAACAATAAGCAAAGGCATCTAAGGTTACAGAGAGGGCTACCTTTAAAAGTGCCAATTTGGCACCCGTGGGTTAGATTAGGCCACGCTTCCACCCAAAATGGGGTGGGCTACTTTTTTGGGTTTAATTTTACTAAATTCAATGTTTAGACTTCCTTAAATATTCATTCCTCCTCAGTGTGCAGCCACTGGGTGTATTGACACTGCAGGGCCTCCTTGCTCTGCTCTGGCTAGGCTTTTCAACCAGGCAAATACCTGCCCAGGAGTGCTTTTAGGGTGCGTCACCTCAGCGAGCAGGAGTCCCCCCGCAGGGATGCTTTACAGGGCTAGGCAAACCACCTAAGAGACTTTTTCCCGCCATTTGCTATCCGAGACTCGCTTCCCAGCCAATGCACCTTGTTTTAAGTAAAAATAGTGCCTTCTGGAGAGTTTCCCTAAGGCCTAGCCTGTTGTTTTCAGGAAGGAGATTCAGGAAGCGCCAGCTGGCCTGCTCTCTCTCTTCTATTGAGATGCACAGTGGATGACAGAGGGGGAGGGAATCCCAAATGCCTGGGTCTCCCTCCTCACAAGGTTACCATGAGCAATGACTGCACCGCTGCACTCCAGCCTGGGTAACAGAGTGAGACTCAAACAGAAAAAAGTATGATTTACAATAATTTAGGAATGTTAGCTAAGGCTCAGTAAGTGAAAACTGGCATGATACCGGTCTTTCTAGAAGCTCTGGGACTAAGGGACCAAAAAGAGAATTATGATAATACATCTTGGATTCTCTATTCATTCTTTTTAAAAATATATAAGGTATTGTCAAGAAAAAAGATAATAAAATCAGTCTTACAAGCTCTAAGACAGATCATTGTGAAGTGTTTAGAGTATGATGGTCTAATTAGGAACTGGAACAGTAAAAGCTTTAAGTGTTTAAAATGACCTCATATATTACTGTCAGATTTTTCACTGAAAACATTTTAAATTAAGTTTTTATTTATTTATCTATCGATCCACCCATCCACCAATGGCATGATCATAGTTTACTAGAGCCTCGAACTCCTGTGTTCAAGCAACAGATATCCACTTTAAAAAGAGAAAACAAAAAAAATGACAGCATTAAAAATTTAATTTTTTTGGTTTTTTCTGAGACACAGTCTCACTCTGTTGCCCAGGTTAGAGGGCAGTGTACAATCTCGGCTCACTGTAACCTCCACCTCCCAGGCTCAGGTGATTCTCATGCCTCAGCCTCTTGAGTAGCCAGGATCACAGGGGCGTGCCACCATGCCCTGCTAATTTCAAGGTTTCACCATGTTGGCCATGCTGGTCTCAAACTCCTAACTTCAAGTGATCCACCCGCCTTGGTGTCCCAAAGTACTGGGATTACAGGCGTGAGCCACTGCACCTGGCCAAAAATTTCAATTATAATTGCCATTTGCCCTCATATTTATGGCTAAATCTCATTTTAGTAATCTAAAAGAATATATTTCTGGGTCACAGTCTGACAAACCACCATTCCAGTCAATGCCTCTTTAAATGACAGCAATAAAAACAGGCTTCATACACGCGGAGGCCAGGACTTTAGCGTTCTCCCTTTAGAAATAGACATGGCCTTTGATAACTCACCTCCATCTTCCAGCTCCTCCTACAAACTGAACATTTAATGCACCAAGGGGCCAGGTCTCACGTGGGGTCTCAGGCCATGTAAGCTCATGTCTGGTGTAAATATCCATGAAAACCATATTCTTATCATGAGATAAAGTGCAAGGAAAAATCCTCTGTCCACATACAGACAACTGTGACTGCTTCTCTAGATAAACTTTAAATTATAAAATAGTTTGACTCTTACCCTGTGGGGTATTTTTTACTCCTTCTTTCTTCATAGATTCTTCAGGTTGAGCAGCATTTGCCATTTCTCTGGCTTGTATGTATTGCTGAAGCTCTTTGGCAAAATTATCTTCTGGTTCCTGATTGCAGATATCCTTATCACTATATACATCATAGTCCTTACTTCTTGATTTTCTATGCAGCGAACTTTTTGGTGATATTGTAGAGTTTCCAAAGTGTCTGAACTAAGTAAAAATTAAAACTTCAATTTATAAAACCTAGCATGATTCAAAACAATCTGGCTATACAGAAGAAACAAGATTGGCTATAGATTGGATCATTGCTGAAGTTGGGTAATAGGTACATGGGGTTCATATACTATTCTTTCCACTCATTATTTGAAAATTTCTGGAATTAAAAACAAACTAACCAACCACTATGACATACCTATCATTAAAGATGATTTGAGGGAAGACTCTAAATTTGTACACTGTATGCATTTGACTGAATTAAAAGTCTAAACCCCTAAATCTTAATTATTTGATATGAGGATTACATTATTTAGTTCACACATTACGTTTCTGCCTTTGCATTGACAGTACTTTTAAACGTCTTTAATAATTTATCATTTCTTAAAGCACCAAGTAAACTGTAATGGCCCATATGAAAACTCACTTACACTTAAGATATATTTCAGCTACCAAAGCCTAGTCTTTAAAGTCACAGCAGTGGTAGCAGCAATGATGACAAGAAATAAAGAACTACCCCGTTCTCTGTAATCGAGTTAACTTTACTTTCCTAATTCCGTTATTGCAAGTGCCCAAGGCACTGGTGAAGAATTCTGGCACCCACAGGAACAGCAACCCAGGTATGGGAGCTAATCCTAGAGGAGCCCAAGCTGATCATAGAAGATGACTTAAAGCAATTTCTGCATAAAAATTTTCAAGTATTGGTTATGCATGTGTCTACACTTGGTGACACAGGTATATCAAACTGTATAATTAGTATGTACATTTTAATCAAAAAGTTTATTTTAAAAAAGTGATCAGGGCTCCTATTCTGATGTCAGGAAGAAATGGCATGCCTATCATTACAGTGGACAAATGATTCTGTTTCACAGCATACTTTGGGGCCTGGTCCCTTATTTACTTTCACGTAACTAAGAAGCAAACTCAAAACAAACAAAAAATACAACAAACGGAAGAATCACAAAAGAAAAAAAAAAGTAAACTGGTTTTTTTTTTTTTTTTTTTTGAGACAGAGTTTCACTCTTGTAACCCAGGCTGGAGTGCAATGGCGTGATCTCGGCTCACTGCAACCTCCACCTCCTGGGTTCAGGCAATTCTCCTGCCTCAGCCTCCTGAGTAGCTGGGATTACAGGCACGCGCCACCATGCCCAGCTAATGTTTTGTATTTTTAGTAGAGACGGGGTTTCACCATGTTGACCAGGATGGTCTCGATCTCTTGACCTCCTGATCCACCCACCTCGGCCTCCCAAAGTGCTGGGATTACAGGCTTGAGCCACCGCGCCCGGCCCCTAAAAAAACCAAACTGTTAAATTGAGCCACCTAATATATTAATATATTAACAGTTTGCTTTTAACAGTTCACTTTTTTTTTTTTTTTTAATGGAGTCTCATTCTATTGCCCAAGCTAGAATGCAGTGGCACAATCTCAGCTCACTGCAACCTCTGCTTCCCAGGTTCAAGCAATTCCCTTGTCTCAGCCTCTTGAGTAGCTGGGACTCCAGGTGTGTGCCACCACACCAGCTAATTTTTGGTAGAGACGCGGTTTCACCATGTTGGCCAGGCTGGTCTCGAACTCCTGACCTCAAGTGATCTGCCCACCTCAACCTCCCAAAGTGCTGGGATTACAGGTGTGAGCCACTGGGCCCAGCAACAGTTTACTTTTGATGGTTAATTTCAAAGTTAGGAGTTGCTCCACCAGAGAATTGATTATAAGCCTAGAAAATGAATGTGCTCCCTGCTTAAAGAATCCAATCGAGCTGAGGAAGTTTCTTGATCTGACACTGGCCTCAATTGTACCTTATCTTCACTACACAGACAAGACTACCAACCAATCTATTATCTTCAGGCCACCAAGCTTCTTGTCTCCAAGTCTTAAGAAAGAGTACCTTTTTCCCACTAACACCATAGAATAAACTTGTAAATATAACTTCTAGACTGATAGATTAGGGGTTGGCAAACTTTCATCTTCACCACCTGTTTTTGCAAATACAGTTTTACTGGAACACCAGTCACATCCATTCATTTACATATTGTCTTAGTTGTGACAGAGACAACATGGCCCATAAAGTTGAAAAGATTCACTATCTGATCCTTTATGAAAAAGTTGGCTGGCTGTGATAGACTATAGATATGCACGGATAGAATCTGTGATGGATTATGTTTACCTTGGTTTTAGCCTTTAAATTTTATTTAGTTGGCATGGAGGAACCAAAACGATTATTTAGTATATAGCAGCTCCTATGAAATTTAGCTTAATCAAATACATAGACAAGAGATTTTCTTCAGTGCATCTCAATCAAAATATTAAAATGATCCAAATGAGTGATTAAGTTCCATCTGCCTACACAAAACACGTAGGCTTGAAGCAGATTCCTTTTATGACAAGTAATACGTCTGACTTGTATTAAATGAAGACATGAAACAATCTGGCAACATTAATAAAGCCAGGACAATCATCAATTGTGCTGTTTTATTATACAGTAGGGATGAATATTACTAATGATTATTTTCAGAGGGCACTGAAATATATAAAATACAAATTACTGAAATACTTTTCTTCACTTAGCTATAAACTCATTGCTTCAGTTTGTTTATTGTATAACTTAGAAAGTATACAAACATGATTATAACCCCATTCTCCTTTTGTAACAGAGTCTAAATAACTTTTTTTGATTCAAGATGGTTTACTGAACTAGTATGGCCTCCAGAAACCCCCCCAAACATAAAAGTACAGGTAACAATGTCTCTCGCTCTGCATGTGTGTGTGTTATGTTTGTGTGTATGTGTGTGTGTATGGGAGGCATAAAGTGCATTCATCAGGAACTGAAAGTCAACAAATTTCTGGCAGACAAAAAGGAAGTTATGCTCTAAAGTTTGGGCTTAGGTACAGTGTGAGAAATGGGGCTATAAATGAGAATCAATTCAAATTCTACATAAAACAGATAAAGCTGTTACAACAAATTCTCTCTGCCCTATCCCTCCCCAGAACACAATCACTCAGGTACTTTTCCCTAGGAAAAAAGAGAAGGCTGTTACCCGAAGAAATGGAAGAGAATGTCTGGTAAAAGCTAAGTCTTCATATGTGGGTACTAAGACCACCCATATGGAGGTACTAAATCTTCTACATGCTGGCAGTTGGGAGCAACGCCTACCAGAAGAATACTCCATCCTACTCACAATAAAGCACGAATGAATTCTCACCCTGCTGTCCAGAGACCCCCCTCAAGGGCCTATGGATTGAATTCAGAAAATTCAGTGAACTTGAATGAGAAGAAAACCACATATTTTCATCAACCTCTAAACTGACATTTGGTATTTGAACAAAGGAAGTATGTTCAAATATGTTCTTCTGTTTTGAACTTAGGAAAAGAAAACATAGCAGTATCAGCAGTATCTGTGACTGTCACTAATACAAATCACAGATATTTTCAGACATCACATTATAGTTGTTACAGATCTCAAAATATCTTTTATGTTCATGGCCACTGCAAAATTAGAATAATCAGACTCACTCCTCTGCTAGGTCTTATTATTCAATATATTAATAAAGAACATATTACTCTATAGCATTTGTTTTTAATATTTTTGATTAACCATATTTCAATCAAATCAATTCCCTCTGTAATCAAACATATTTTATTTTATACACTCAAAAAACTCTGAAAAGAGGTCCATGGACTTCACCAGACTGCTAAAGGGGGTACATGGCACAAAGTGGGCTGAGAACTGTTACGCTGCTGGGAAACCTCCTATCCACAGAGCCCACTCACTTACCCCCAGTCAGGCTTCCCATTTAGAGGAAAGGCCTTTAGAGACACAAATTTACCAACACATCAGCAGAGGACATGTATGAACTCTCTGGGTCTTTCTTAAATGAATGGACAACAAAAAAATACAAAGGCACGTGACAAAAGTCTAGAGCTGGAGTCACCAAACTACAACCCAAGGGCAAAATCCACACTGCCACCTGTGTTTGTAACCAACCACAAGCTGAGAATGAACTTTACCTATGTTTTCATGGTTGAAACAAACAAACAAAATCAAAAGAATATTTTATAATGCTTGAAAACTATATAAAATTCAAACTTCAGAGTCCATAAATACAGTTTTATTGGAACATAGGCATACTCATTCACTTACATATTATGTGGCCTGCTTCCTTGCTACAACAGCAGAGTTGAGTAGCTGCAAGAGAACTTTATGGCATTCTCATCACTTCATAGAGATGCTCAGTGCACTACAAATTGCCCTGACAGTTATAAATTGACAACATTTTGAGTGCCTCATTGAGTACCTCATGCCATTTTATTATTTTATTACCAGTACATACCTACCACATCAAAACATGAAAAGCATTCGAATATCAAGTATTTAGAGGCACAGTGAACTGTGGATTATTTTACTGTCAAGTCAGATGGCAAAGCACTGTGGTTATTATGTGACAATACTACAGTAGTGCTAAAAGGACACAATGTATGTTGACATTACAGAATTAAGCATTCATCACAATATTCCCAACTCACGAGTAAGAGAAAAATTAGAAAATTTTAATCCAGCTCTGATTAATTTTTTAATTAGAAAATTTAAAATAAATTATATCATCCACAAATTTCTTTCTTTCCAAAAATAAAACAAAAACAAAGCTAGAATCAAAGTAAGTTTCATTTGTAGCCAATCAAAGAAAGCTGACAGTTGATTTCATTTGTAGCCAATCAAAGAAAGCTGAGGTTGATTACAACAGTTAAAGAAATCTGTCCAGAGAAAATAAAGTTCTTAAGACAAGCGGCCTTTTGCAAAAACAGCTGCTCAAAGACATGAGGAAACTGGAGCGTTATCAGACAATTTAAAATCAGGCAAATAATTTCCAGTGGTTTTCCTTAGCTTTTAATGAGTTCACAGGTGTTACTGATACTGCTCGGTATCACTGTGCTGTTCAAAGTTAAAACAGGAACAAGGTCTCCATACACACATTAATTTGCAGCAGATATATTTTGCACA